AATACAGATCAGAAAAATGAGAAAAAATCAGATTTAATCTGCACATCAATATTTCTGACTCCCGGAGTTCATTCCTAAAACAGAGACCTTGGGGATGGGGAAGGAGACTCTACTTTCACCATCACTTCCTCCCATACAATCTTCAGATCCAGAAGATAAAACTGCTCTGACCATTCCTCCTAGTCAGTAAGAAAATGTTTCCATCAAAACCATATAGCAGAGTCTTCCACAGTTGAGGGCCAAATTGTGGAGAACACTAACAGGCACAATTCAGGCAGAGGTGCCAGGGATGAGGCCTAAAAAGGAACTATTAGGAAGATAAGAAAACCTGAAATGCACAGGATGTCAGACACAAAGAAGAAGAAAAAAAAAAAAAAAAAAGAAAAAAGAGCACTGCAAGGAAGGTCAAGAAAAAACATACTGCTACCCTGACAGCCCAAGCAGACCTACAAGTACAGCTTATCCAAGACCCGCAACACTGCAGATTTCACACATCACAATCCCAACCAGCCACCACGTGCATAACACGAAACAAACTTCAACCATGAACACGTGATTGTCAGCTTAGACAGCTGATGTGGGACCAGGTTAGTCAGTTCACTACACTTGAAACTGTAATAGTATTAAAAGGGTCCCAATTATCTTCTGTCCTCTAGGAAACAAATATATACAAACACCCACCAGTAAAAGACCTTTCCCCCAAAAAAGATGAAAAGCTCATACAGCAAGTACATATACTTGTAATGTAAAAATACAAACCACAATGCTATCAGTAAACTCACAGAAGAGCCTCCCCTTCAGATAAGGCATGTGCCTTAAGAAAATGTGGTCAGCATAAACAAATAAATTTGATTGGCATTAAAACCACAATTAATAATATTTATTCTTATCAGGCCTAGCAAAGTGCAAAAACATTTCATTTCTGTTCCCATGAAACAGGATTATAACCTCCATTTCCTACATCTCTACAATAAAGTATCTACAAACATGTCACTGCAGAACAACCAAACCCCAAAAAGCCACTGAATCACCAAATGATGTGAGACTCTGCTGCTCTACATCCTCCACTGGGCCTCCCTTACTACACAGATTTTAAGCAGGCAGGATACAAATTAAAATCAACAGCGCTTGCTGTGCAAACACAGCTTGTGGCCCAGAACCTCAGTGCTAATCCCAAACTGATTATCATCCCTCAACAGAAAGTCCACAGTTGCCGCAGCTGGGCAGGTTCACCAAAAAAGCACACTGCTGCAATTCGTATCTGTGCATCCAGAAAGGTCTGCTGAAACTGAACTAAGGAACCAAACACCACTGCCAGATTTTCCCTCTTGAGGTACTGATAGGCAAGAACTATCAGAGCAAAAGATATTAAAACACCAGGCTGTTTTCCAAGAGCCCTACCTCCCTCAATCAAGGCCATTACCAAATCTGCTGGTAAGACAGCCCTGAACTATTGTAAAACTGCACTCCTGACCTCAGCAACACCAATGCCTTCAACTAATACTATTGAAGGTGTTTCCATATTTTGATGTTCATAAGGTAGGCATCTGGAACAAACTGGGTAAAACTAATCAATCGCAAGAAAGCACATATTTTTAAAAGCACCTTATTTAGAGAGAGAAAGCAAGCAATCTGTAGAAAGACATTTGGCCCAAACAGGTAGTAGTTTACAGTAGCATTATTCACAAAAGCCAAGAGTCCACCAATGGACTACCAGGTAAACAAAATCTGGCATATGCACATAAATGTGGTATATATACAACTGAACATCATTCCACATTAAGAAAAGACATTCTGACATATGCTGCAATATGTTTTAACCTTGAAAACATCATGCTAAGTGAAACAAGTTAGACACAAAAGGGCAAATGCTATATAACTCACTTATGTGCACAGAGTATAAAGTAGAATAGTATGGAGAATAAAGAAGGGAAATTATTGTTTAATAGTACTGAGTTTCTGCTTGAAATGATATAAAGATTTTGAAGATAAACAGTTCTGATGGTTGCACAACATGAACATACTTAATGCTCCTGAATTGTAAGTACACTTAAAATGGTTAAAATGGTAAGTTTTATGTACATATATTTTAGTATAATTTTTAAAAATAAAAGATATTTGTACTTTTAAAAGCAAATTATAGATTTGGAATATTCTCAATCACATCTAGAGATATTGTATTTTAAAATGATAGGAATAAAATATATACTTCTATGTGCAGTATATTTAAGAATCTACAAAAGTTGTCTTCAATTTTCATACCTTGCTAAAATCTGATCATAGGTTTCAGTCCAGAAGACCATAAAGCACAATATTTTCTTCAAATGTCACTGCTGGCATCCTTCAAATAGCATATAATCGATGACTACATGTGGTGGCCTGACAACTGGTGGTCAACTTATAACCCCCAGCTGAACTGAGTAAGAGTGATGCTGGGTGTGGGAGGCCCACCTGGAGACCACTGCCAGCAGCATAAGACGCAGAACTGGAGAAGAAGAAAAAGAGGCTGTTGGGAGCTGGTAAAAGCTGTAAAGAGCTGTGGGTTCTGTTAGAGGATCTTGTCATGCTGGCTTTCCTGATGGAACTTGGCTGTTTTCATCCTCGAAGGAGCTTGGGACCTCACTGGCACTGAAAATAGCTCTGGTTCACTTTGGGGGAGCTCTGCTCCTCACTCTGAGCATCGCTTCCTGGTTCCAGAGGGGAAGATGGTGCACAACCCAGTCTCCTGGAGAAGCTTACTGCGTTGGCTTTCCTGATGGGAACTCAGCCATCTTGACCATGGGAGGCGCTTGGGACCTCACTGTTGCTGAGGATGGCTGTGGTACCTTTCGGGGGAGCTCTGATTCTTAGTTTGCACATTCCTTCCTGGCTCCAGTGCACATCCCTCAGCCTGCTAGCATAGATCCTGTATTCCACTGATACACACTTCCTAGGTTCCACCACTGACCTTTGGGCCTTCCCAGGGCAGATCTGTGAAACAGGCCTGCATGAGATATTGTTATGGGCTCTAGGCCTCCAGTTGTACTTGTGGGAGGCACTGTTATGAGCTCTAGGTCTTCAGCTGGACTCATGCAGGACATTTCCATAGGATCCAGGCCCTCGGCTAGTTTCCTTGGTCTACTGTGTGTGGACCCATTTCCTGCACTCTTTTGTGTATCATTCTTTGGGTGACTATTATAAATAATCTTATAAAATATGTGCCTCATATTATATTGTTCCCTTGCAATATCCCCCAAACCAACACGCTGCATCACCACACAGGATATTACCACATAAGCATGACATCAATGACATGAACAAGACATGTCATCTGAATATGTGCTGTTAATATCTAAAGACTCATTTGCAAACATTGGTGGCCATTCCAGATATATATCCTAGAATAAAATTCTCCCCCAGCCAATGGCAAACATGATTACAATCCAAGGGATTTTATCATGTACTTACAATGTTTAAAGATGAAATGGCTGGTGATTATATACTTTAAAAGGCTGCTTGAACAAAAGAAAGCTCTAACACTGTACTTTGCAGGTAACAGCAATAATACACCCAGTGGTTGCTCGCAAGGAGGGAAAACAGTAGACTGTGGAAAGTGACAGTGCCCTGAGAGGGTAAATGTTTCTCCTATACTACCTCTGTTAATTAAGAGTCACTGTCACTCTTCTCCAGGCAGATGCTGAAATCTGTGTGCAAGCAGTGAGAGCCAAGACGCAGGTGGAGATTCAGGAGCAGCCCTGTTTTCTTTAAAGCCATGACATGGTTGCACCGTCTCATTTCCAGAGCCAAAGCTGAAGGGTGCATTTCCACTATCAACTGGTTGTAGGAAGCAGCAGCAAGTGCATGTAAAAATATCAGGTAAAAATATATGCAGGCCAACAGACTCACTTCTGCCTCTGAGAATATCCAGATAACTTCTCCTTCAAGCAGTGTACAAAGGTGGGGTGAGAAATTACTAAAATGAAACTGCATCATCATCACCACGGAAATATTCAGGTCTGGGAGTTAAACGGAAGTCCACTATTTGACAACACTTTACTAAACTGAAGGAAAATTATTATTCAGTGTATTATATTGATAGAGGTAGTCCAAATAATAATTCAAAACAGTCAACACAAATAAATAAAAGCCTTGATCTTTCCTGGTCCAGCTGGGCTCAAAGACAACACCTTCCCAGTAACATAAACATTTCCTACATTAATCATATCTGCTATCTCCTATACCACAATGTCAAACTCTAATTTTAATAACAAAAACTATAAAAATGTTTATAAATTTCAGGCTTCCATCCCAGAAGTCCATTCTAGGACAGTCTGATTTAGTTTTGGCAATATGATTCCTTTTATTTTAGTCCTGTATTCTGCTTTTAGTATCTGGTTGAAATGTTTGTTTGGTGCACATCCAATATTTTTAAAAGAAAGATCAGAGGGTATAAAGGTATACCAAAATGATAATGGTGGTTATCTATGGGTGGCAGAGTTATAAATGAAACTCTTTTTACCTACACATTCTTTAAATGGAGGAGAAAGAGGAAGAGTAGGGGAGGGTGGGATCCAGATAAAAAGGCAAGAAAAATAGAAGAAAAAAGAAAGTTAACACTTAGGTCCAAGGCAAATGCAGAGGAGCCTTGAGTAGTCTGCACAGGTTACATACTGCAAGGCCCAGAGCACCATTTGTATAAAGCTTTCGGGGCTGGGGATTTAGCTCAGCGGCAAAAGCGCCTGCCTGGCAAGCGCAAGGTCGTGAGTTCGGTTCCCGGTACCGGAGAAAAACAAAACAAAAAAAAAAAGCTTTGGCCAGCTCCTACAAAACAGTGGTGCCCCAGCCTCCACAGCCTTCTACTCACAGAGCCTTGCACAGTGCTGGGGAGAAAGGGAAGCTCCAAAGAAGATGGTCTAAATTAGAGCACTGATCTCCCAGGGGAGTATGACATTTTAATCACTTCCAGCTTTCAAGAAAATCAGCAACTTCAGGATAGGCATGTAGGTACTAACAGATAATACCTGAACTAGTACACAGTGACACTTCTGATATAAATGTACAGGTGGTAGAACTTTTTTAAGGAGATATTCTTCTTGTAGTCCTCCTATGAGTATCTACAAAAAAAAAAAAAATTTATGACAGTTAATATGGTCTAACTCTTGACTAGACTAAAGCTCACTGAGGGCAGGAAACATGTCTGTCTACTTCTTTACTATGCTACCAGTGCCCAGCAGGGTACCTGGCTCAGCCAGCCTCTTCTCAATAGTTCTGATTAACAAAAATAACACAGACTTATTTATATGTAACAATATTTTTAGAACACCTTACAAGTATTCTTGACTTGTCTGTTAAGGAGATTGCCTAGTATTCCATTATATGCATACACAGTATTTACTCAGCCAACTCCCTCTCTAAATATCTTACTGGATATTTAGACTTCAATCTTTTCACTATGACAAAAAGGTATAGGAAGTGATCTTGATTATTTCTTAAATTAAACCCCTAAAGGGAGAACGGCTGGGTCAAAAGTACGTAAGGGTCTATGCCATCACTCTTAGAAGCTACCCTCCATAGCCTTGTCTTAAAGGCAGTAATCATGAACATTCCACTTTAGGTAAGCCACTGTGAATTGCTCAAGCAAAGGAAGCTCCTAGAACTGACAGCAGCAGCCAAAGTCCTAAAGGGTGCTCTCCAGACTTGTTTCGGTGCGCAGCAGTCCTCCACTGCTCCTCCCAAAGGTGAACCCTCTCTTCATTCTCTGTAATGGACAAAATCACACTGTAGCAGCTCATTTACCTCCCCACCCCCTTTTCTTCCTATAAACTAGCAAGTCTCCAGTGAGGCCATCCTTTTGCTTCTCTAATTTCCTCAGAGGAAAACCTGACCCTGTTCCATTTATAAGACACAGAAGTGTTGTGCCACACATTACTGCCATGACATCCTCAGCAAACGCTTGTCTCACTCCTTTTAGGCAGCACTTCCCAACAGCCCCTCAAAAAAATGGTGAAAAGGTCATAAGAAAAAATTCTCAATACCACAGTTTTATCCACAGTCATAAAAATGGAACTTTCAGACACTTTCCTGGTGAACTCAATAACAACTTTCGATGGTCTCTAAAAGATACACTTAAATATGTACACCAAAACTGACACGTTTCATTTTGGTGGCCTCCTGAAACTCATGCATGGAAACCAACAAGAACCTCAGAGTACTGACAGGACCTTTGAACACATGGCCAAAAAGAGAAATGAGAAACTCCTCAGTGTTCTGATGCTCTCATTTCTGTATTTAAAAATCAAAGGAAGAAGAAAACCAGCTATGTTTAAGGCATTATGGAAACCTGGACCACTGCCCAGCTGCTGGTAACTCTGTGGGGCCATTCAAAGTAACTCAGATGCCCCTGTGCCTATGTGACTGCAGCCGGAAAGCAAATGTCAAGTTACAGACCTGTGAATGCACAGCAGAGTGCTTCCCAGGCATGCCTGAGGCTCTGCCTCCTGATCAAATGATGTGCTTCATTTTTGTTTACTATCATCTGTTGGGCCTATTACCAAGATAACTCCATAGAGCTTACACTTTACTTTGTCCGCACTATATCCTTAGCCTTGTCGAAAGCCAAAGCTATGGACCTGAAGCTTAAGCTAGAGACTGAGGCTACCCACAAAGACTCCTCCAAGGAACAATAGCGCACATGGGATGTTCCCCTGTGCCCGTCAGATAGTAAGGTAAGGAAAGTAAAACTGACGGTCCAGGAACAAGAGGGATGGGCTCTAGACAGAAACACAGGTAGGGGAGCGACACAGTCCTAGCCACAAAGCTGGGTACACAGGGACAATACCTATGTAACAGCTTTAAAATCCCATTTAAGGTCTATCTGGCCCAGTGAATGGCCAACATGCCACCTCATGAGAGGAAAGGGAGCCAGCATGCCACCCTTCTCAGTGCAAATCTCCAGTACCCTCTGCTGCCACATCCCCAGGCCACTTCCAACAACTGTATGAGGTTACCCTCTACCTCCACAGGCATCACACAATAGCACTTATAACACACAGGTTATTACTCTCATTTCACACAAGAGAAAGCCAGTATCCCGAAAGGGTTTAAACTCAAGCACCCAGCTCTTTCTGTCACTCCCCAGCTGACATTCAGAATCAGAGGCTCAGGTCCTTGATTCCTAGTTCTTACCACCCAGAGGACCCTTATTATCCCAGCACCTTACAAGTGGCAAAAGTCATTACAACCTCACAAGTATGCCCAGAGAGCCAAGAACATCTTGTTCCCACTACCCTCACCTGCCCTCCCTCTGTCTCAGGTGACCAGGGCAGACTGGCTCAGGTGATGACCATGGAGAGGCTGTTTCCTCTGCAACCTCTTCTAGTCCAGTGACCTCTTCTCCAGCACACCAGGCATGTCTGCTCTCCCCTCCTCCACAGGCCTCTGCCCCTGCCCCCAAGCCTGGGGCCCTACGTGTCCTCATACCCCTTCCTCTCTTTCCTATTTCCTCAGTATAATAAAGTCTCCCTCCCTTTTGCTCTGTTATATCCATACCCTACTGTCTTCAAACATCTTCCCACTAGTTGGGCTGCGTGTGTGACAGGAAGGAACTGGGCAACATCTCCCTACCCACAGCTGTATCGCTTCACTTCAGTCTCTCCAGCCTCTGCTGCTATCTGAATGTTACCTCCAGCTAATCCTCCCCATTCCCTTGGGGAATAGTTTTCTTGAGGTCTGTTCACCCCTCACCAGCCAGGACTTTTTTCTCTCATCCCCATCCTTTAATCTGTGACTCTTGGGAACTCTACTCCCAATTTAAACATCATCCCCCAACCAGGTTTAGCGGTTTAAGGGAGGGAGGTTAGTGATAACATGCCCTGACCTTTGTGGAACAGTATACCTGCATGCAATGTATAAAGACTCAACATGCACACTGCTCCTTCAGCAGAGACAGCCTGCCAGGAGGGGCCCCAATCACAACCTATGGAGTACAAGAGCTGAAGAATCAACCACTTACTGCCATCTCTAACAAGTGGTTTGTACGTTAGAGAAACTAAACAGGACTGAGGAAGGCAGTGCTGAAATATGCTTTATCAAAGAGATAAACAGCTGAAGATGAAGAGTCCACTTTTCAGGTGTGTCCCCTAATCAAAGGAGCCATGGCATCCAGAACTAGATGAGGAGGGTCAGCTGACCCAGCTCTCCATCTGCAGATAGGAAAGCACAGCCCCAGGCTTCCCCAGGTCACTCAGTTGGCTCACAGGGTCAGCCTGCACATTATTTGTAAAGGTATTACAAAATGGACAAAGGGCGGGAGGAAAAGTGGTAAATTGGAAACAGTGTACAAAAGTAGAATTTAGCACCAAAACTGAAGGGAAAACTGTTTTTAATAAACATTTTAAATGTTTTTAATAAATATTCTTTTAGATACGTGTGGTGGCACACGCCTGTAATCCCAGCACTTGAGATGCTGAGTCAAGAGATCACAGTGAGTTTGAGGCCAGCCTGGGCTACATAAGCAAGACCCTCACCAGGTAGTAGATATATCTATTCTTTTAAAAGGCTGTTTTAGGGGCTGGGGATTTAGCTCAGCGGCAAAAGCGCCTGCCTGGCAAGCGCAAGGTCGTGAGTTCGGTTCCTGTTACCGGAGAAAAAACAAAAAACAAACAAAAAAAAAAAGGCTGTTTTACTTTAAAGATAAGAGTCCAAAAATTCTCCAGTACTACATTCCTAGGAAGTGGATACAAACAACTTAGCCACTTTTTAAAAACAAAGTACACTGCCCAGCACTCCAGGGACTTGTTGAGAGGTTGTAAAGCACAGTTCCAGTCTCCAATTCCCTTCTGACATGGTCTGACCACTGGAGCACCCATCTTTCTACACTCCTTTCTGTGGTGAGTTAGCTCATTAAAAATGGAAAGTCTGTGCAACTTTCAAACTTAAAAAAGAAAAAAGATCACTTCTGATTCCATACACACTATCCTGCATCATCATTTCCTTCTGTCCACTCTGCTGACATGGGGAACCTGGAGCAGGTAGCCTTCTGTGTCTGGCGGCCCAATTCTATGCTGGGGGCCTGGTGTACAGCTGTGATACAGCACTTACTACTTGGTCATGAGATCACCTGTGGACATGTCCTCCCTCCACCAATGAACCCTCAGGACCCAGATCCCAAAGTTCACTGAGCACCTAGCACATGGCCCACTCTCAACACATCTGCTGCTGCTGAAAACTCCCGCTTTAAAACATAAAAAAAATTTTTAAAAAAAGGCTGGGCCTGAGTCTCTCACCCCTGTCCATGCCTTTGCAGCCTCCTCAGTCTTCCCCTATAACCTCCATGCCTCTCTGCCCTGCGACATCCTCTCTGCAGGCCAAAAAGCTCAGGCTGCCAGGGTCACAAGACACCCAACAACTAGTGAAGGGAAAAACCTGAACCAGAGTTTCTCCCCAAATACCATTTACTTGTATGGTTTTTCTCTGAGTTAATCTAAAATGCAAGATCCTATAAATCTCTCAATTCTAAAATTTCCTTAATTCCATGGTTATATATGTAACATTGTTCAGCTAAAATGAAGTCTCAAAGGCAAACAGCAAGTGTGCTATAATGATCACGTCCACTCACATTGCTTAAGGATTTCGCGTGTATCAGTACAGCACTGCGCTAAGCTTTGTACACATGGTAGCTATCCTACCTGCAGCTGCTAGAGATACTAAGCCTTCTCTTTCCTATAAACACAGCTTTCCACTACAATGAAACCAGTCAAATAAGATTATCTTCTGTCTCTGTACTGTCAGGCTATGTATCCGGACACTGTTAATTTCTCAGTCCCACCATATTCCCATGGGAATAAAATGGGGAGACAGAAGGCCTCCCGACCCCCTTTCGTTTATGGGAAGGGAAATGAAAATAAGTCATGTCACCTTCCTAAGATGGGATGCACTCATGGCATGTCATGCTGCTGAGGAGTCTAGACTTACATTTCCAATTTTCTTTCCACTCTGGGTTGTAACAGTTCCTGAACAGTATCACAAAGTGGCAAGTAGGGCACCAAGTTTCTGCTCTGTCCTAGCTCAGAAGCCACTCTGCATTCTGGATGAACACAACCCCATTTCATGGGGT